AGCTGAGGAGTGAGGAAGGACTAGATGCGGGTCAGTGGGTAATCAGGAGAGGGTGTGCACACCTTCCTGCTGGTGCAGAGGAAGGATGGGTTGGGGCTGGAAGACCTAGGGGCCTGGGAGTGTGCTAATAATTTTGACATTGGGAACTGCAAACAAAAAATGAGGGAGGGAGTTTTTGAGTGAAAGATATTTCTAGTTTGATTACAGTGTAAAGTATGTTGGGGGTGAAGTGGGTTGAGGAAGAGAGGCAGGGTAGTAAGCTATAAAACTTTAGAGATATTAGGGATAATTATGGAAACCCTAGGGTCTTGAGACAAGAGATACAGATTTTACGGAAGTCTAGAAAACTCGCAGCCGAGAAGAAAGAGGAATGGCACCTCCACCCACCATTCTTTTATTCCTTCCTCCAGCATTGGGACTTATCAACCTTCTTGGTACCTAGGGTTCAAGTCCTTGCCAGAGGATCCCTGTGAGACTTCAGCATTGGGTCTTCCCTGGGTGAAGGAGGCTGAATGTGGGGCAGGTAGTGTGGAGAGCACATTCTCCCTCTACCACTTTCTCTTTCGTAACAATGGACAGATCTCCCCCTGTTCCCTGCCAGTTCCCTCCCCTCAGTTACACGTGCACACTTCCCTGGGCTGGAGGCTGGACCACCTGTGCCCCAGCATCAGCGTGTTGGGAGTGGGCACCCTGCCATCTCCTCCTGTCCCTTAAAACCAGTTTCTCTTGTGCCCCATTCTGAGGGTCTGGCCTGTGTTGTCAACCAGATCTTGCCTTGCAGAAGGCTGGGCCAGATTCCCAGTGAAAAACCAATGCTGACATTTAATTTAAAAGCCAAGATGCTACTTAGTAAAAGTTTGTAAAGTTATATCTCAGCTGTTCTTGCAGATAGAACCTACTTCCAAAAAGGAATGGGGTTCTGTGAATTTGAAATACCTTTCTGATGACATTTTAACAGTTGGGGGACACATAGATATCGAGATGCCATTCTACCTGAGTCAAAGTGTGTTAAGATGGATGTCCCAATGTTTCTATTACATGTGGGAGTACAAGGATCACATAAAGGGACAGAATCATTTATTCAACAAATATTGATTAAGTGCACTCAGTGTGAATGCTGGGGGTTCAAAGATTAATAAGACATAGGAGTAAAGATTGCACATGAAAAATATTGCATCATTTCTCTGCTTAAGATCCTTTACAACCTTCTGCTATTTTTCAAATAACCTCCTAAATATAGTTGATAAGACCCTACGTGATCTGACCCCTGCTTGTGGCTCCATATTTAACTCATACTTCTTGTGCTTCTTGACTACCCAGTTCCTATAAGAAGTTCAAACATGACAAGCTCTTTCTGGCCTCAGGGCCTTCTCACAGACTGCTCTTTCTTATTGAAAACCCCCTTCCTTCATGCAACTGGATGCTACTTATCCCTCAGGTCCTAGTTAAAAATGTTACCACCCTAAAAGGCCTTCTAGAATGATTCTTGCTACCATTCCATCACCATTATTCTTTATTGGAGCACCTAGTTTGTTCCTTCTGTAGCACAGATAATACTTTAAAATCATCTATTTATTTATTGACTTGTACAACACCTTCCCCTCTCCTGGGTTGAGAGCCCCCTCAGAACAGGAACCACACAAGTTTTTTCTATTGATGTGTGTGGACCCTACACCTCATACATGCTATGCACAGAGAAGATGTTGAGTGCATATTTATTGAATGAATTCATGCATACATGAACACATTTGTCAATGGAGGCTCAGACAATCCTCTCACTCCCCAAATGAATACTGGGGAGCCCAGCATTCCAATATTGAATCCATTCCTGAAAACACATTAAAATACCATAACAGTTTCAGCTGAGCAGAGTCCAGAGCACTCTGGCCCTGACCAGGGAGGGACTATTTCAGAAATTAGGCAAGGCTGTTCATAAAAGCTTCAATTTGATCTGGTTTTTGAGGATGAGGAGGAGTTTTCCCGGACTCTGTAGAACAGGGCATTTCAGGGCGTGGTGGCTCATGCTTGTAATCCCAGCACTTTGGGAGGCTGAGGTGGGTGGATCACAAGGTCAGGAGATTGAGACCATGCTGGCTAACACAGTGAAACCCCGTCTCTACTAAAAATACAAAAAATTAGCTGGGCGTGTTGGCATGCACCTGTGGTCCCAGCTACTTGGGAGGCTGAGGCAGGAGAATCACTTGAACCCAGGAGGCGGAGGTTGCAGTGAACCAAGATCACGCCATTGCACTCCAGCTTGATGACAGAGTGAGACGGCATCTCAAACAAAACAAAAAACACAACACAAAACAAATAAAGAAACAGGGCATTTCAGGCAGCCGAAGTAAACAACATGCCAGATTAGATAACACACAAACACTATTTTAGTATAAGCATGTCCTATGCAGTTTTTTGGTCACACTTATACTAAGCTGTACTTGTTGTTTGTCTCAAATTCCATATTTAACTGAGCACTGTATTTATTTGGTAACATTACGTGTATACCAGTGTGAACCAGCAACAGCACAGCATGCTTGGGTTTTGGGAAAGATCAGGGGTGTATGGAATTCACAGTGCCTTGGGGAGCACTGGATGTCAAGTTCCAAGGCTGGAGAACAGTAGCATGTGTAAGTCCCTAAGCACTGCGCCACGGAGCGTGGCTTTCTTTCTGTGAGCAACGGTTTCTAAGCAGGAGAGTAATCACATCAGATTTTCTCAAACATCTGAGCACAAACACCTACCTTCTTCCACCACAGAGAAAGTCCCCCTTCTAGACTGGTGCTGGTGATGTAAACTCCATGGTAGGCAGGGGACATGCCTTGTCTTTGGTCTGACTGTATTATTTGTGGGAATAGATTTGTATTTAAATTCTGTGTGATCTGGGTAAGTTGCTTCCCCTCACTGGGTGTTGGTCAACCCACCTCTAAAATGAAAGGGTTGCCCAGATGTCTTCAAGATTCTGTTGCATTTAAACAGCTTTGAGGTCTTGCCTGGAGATCCTATAAAACATTCTAGGGAACTGTCAGGAGGCAAGGACTCTAGTACCCACTCTGGATGATTTCTGCCCATGTAGCATTTGCGCCTCCTTCCTTAGACAATGTCTTAGGATGGGTTCTTTAAAAGCAGAGCTGGAGGCAGGGATGGTTCCTTTGCAAGTGATTTATTGGGAGAGCGTTTTATTATTTATTTATTTTTAATGGAGTTTTGCTCTTGTTGCCCAGGCTGGAGTGCAATGGCGTGATCTTGGCTCACCACAACCTCCACCTCCCAGGTTCAAACGATTCTCCTGCCTCAGCCTCCCGAGTAGCTGGGATTACAGGCATGTGCCACTACACCCATTTTGTATTTTTAGTAGAGACAGGGTTTCTCCATGTTGGTCAGGTTGGTCTTGAATTTCCGACCTCAGGTGATCCGCCCACCTCGGCCTCCCAAAGTGCTGGGATTACAGGCATGAGCTACCGCACTCGGCTTTTTTTTTTTTTTTTCTTAAAAAGAGAGAGAGAGAGAGACTAAAGGGAGTAGAACACAGCAAAAGAAAATAAACTAAGGCAAGATGTTCTCTCAGTTGGAGACCTGTGTTAATCTGATCTCACAGGGAGCTCTATACTAGAAAGGATGCCACAGAGTTGCTCCAGCATGAAGCAGGGGGTCCGAGGTTTTGTACCCACATATCAGTTACTCATGGGCTGCCTGCTTCCCTGGGAGCATTCTACCTGGCTGAGCCTCACCTATAGAATGGACCAGCACAGGTTCTGGGGTATAGAGGAGCAGACAGCGTCTTGCTGTCCTGGGGAAGGTGGAATTGGCCAGGCTTAGTATTATCAGAGTTCATGATGGGCCCCATTGAAGCTGGAGGGATCAATAGAGAAAGCATGAAATTGGGGTCCCCTTTGTAGGAGGAAGGAGGGGGACTAGGCCTTGAAGCCTCACTCCAGGCATAGTGAGCTCTGGCCTTGAAAAAATAACCCACTTGGTGGTAATAATGGCACACATTCTGCGTGGTTAGTTACTATGAAGATTAACAGGAGAATGTATGTAAGGTGCTGAACATACATTCTCCTGATCTTCTTTCTAACATCAGTCACTCACACCTTAGTAAGAAGTTTAGAGCACATTGTCCTAATATCTTAACAGCCTCCATCTTTTTCTGATTGAGAAATGAAGGTATATTTTCTTATTAAATGAAGCAGAGATATCTGCAGTCAGCCTAGGGTATTTAGAAGAGGGTTTCAAGGTCTTCCCAGGGCTTACAAAATTTACCCCAAAAGCACTCGCCATTGCTCTAACTCTAGTGATTTCTATGCTTCTTCAGACAATGTTATGGAAGGCTTAAGGGAGTGGGGCAGACCTGGGTGGAACTTGTTCTCGGCATATTGCCTGAGGAAAACCACACGCAGATGGGCTTGTGCTGATTTGAGGAAACAGAAGGAAAATAATTCATGGTTTCAAAACTTGACATTTTTTAGCTTCCCACCAGATATGTCATGTGTACTATATTTGCTGCACTTCTTGGCCTGACTTTCCCAGCTCAAGATTCAGGAATTATACTTGCCATTTCCTCCCAACATGGGTGAGAGAAGCAGGCAAGGAGGGAGGGCACTGTGGCCTGGAGACAGAAGAGAAAGAGGGTGGGCTTTGGAGCCGTCCAGACCAAGGTCCAAATGCTGGCCCCGGAACTAAGTCATGCATTATTGAATCATGTAGTATTGCATGACTGTGCTCAGGGCTCCATTCTCTGAGTCTGACTCCCGCATCTGTGAGATGGGAATACTTACTAGTTCCCAGGCATGATGCAAGGATTAAAGGGGCGCCAGTCTACACAGTGCTCATATCTGGCTGCACACAGGTCATCCTGTACCATGATAACACCATATCTATTTCTACAGCTCTCATGGAGTTATTATCTTCCCTACAAAACCTGTTAGAGTCTCACAACAGTAAACATTTGAGGCAGAATTCTGACTCGTCAGCTGTTTCACTCTGAAGTGGGGGGCACTTACCACTCTACTCTTCTGCCTCCTGAATCTGTTTGCTTCTTCTCTCCCCAACAAGCTTTGTGGAGCAGTGTCTCATGAATTGTCTTCCTATGGAGAGAAGTGGAGAGAAGTCCCAGGGTGAGAGATGGAGGTGGTCTCTAAAAATGGTCTCACGGAATGTGAATCTGACCTCTGTCAGCCCTGCCAGGTCAATGTTTCTATCAGTGATGAGGAGAAGGACCCAGAAGATGCAAGCTTCTGCCTATGAGTGGCACATCTGGACAGGACGATGGCATACCCCATGCTAGAACCATGTGCTAGAGAGGGAAGGAGGACAGATGTGGGCCATCCACACCTGTGTGACACTGCAGAGCCTGGTGGGGAGAGGGAGGAAAAGAGGCTTAGTTGGGACAAGGGCCTGGGTGTGACTGGGTCCCAGATTTGGGTCCCAGGGCAGAACATATGCTGTCCATGGGAGAGGGTGGCTATATCCAGCCAGCATCCATACACAGAGGGGGTTAGCGCCAGGGGATTTGAGACAGTGTCATCATGGCTTCAGATGCACCTTGGCATTACTGTCCATCATGGTTCCTAGACCAGAACAGTTCCAGGACATTGGGGTGCAGAGAACACCTTGCTCTCCAGCACGGAGGTGGGCTTCACAGGCTTAGTGTTGTCAGAGCTCGTGACGGGTGCCATCAAAGCTGGAGAGATCAATAGAGAAGGCATGAGATTGGGGCCCCCATTCTAGGAGCAGGGAGAGGACTGGGTCTCAGAGGTTCACTCCAGGCACAGTGAGCTCTGGCCTTAAAGAAATAATGCACTCAGTGGTTAGTGGAAAATGAAATCTGTCTACTCTACACTCCGGTTTCTGCAGTCGTCCATATTTTGCTCAGAATGGCTTGGGGTGACGGGGCTGCTGCTGTGCCTCTGAGCCCTGTCCTATGTCCTCAGCCCTTTCCTGGTTCTTGTTTTGTAATATGGTCCTATTCCCTCAAGAACAGGCCCATCTCAGGTGCACACTGGGCTCCCTGGCTCTCTTACTGGAGACTTCCCAGGTGAAGAGGAGGCTGCACCCCATCTCCCTCTCCATGACCTTCTGCTACTTCCACCATCTTTACCGCATCCCTGAGGGAATGACCCTCATAGGGAGAATCCCCCTTCCCCAGCCCTCCCCAGAACCTCACCTCCTCCTCCAGACCTCCCATGTCACACACTGCCTGTATCTATGTCTGGGGATGGTGCCAGTGACCTTCTTTCATGCTCACTTAGAGGGCTCCTTCTTTCATGCTCACTTAGAGGGCATTACAGGCATCTTGTGCAGAGAGGTTCCACTTAGAGAAAGCATCTGAGCAGTATCTGATCTGGGCCCTCTTGCCTTTCACTGACCCAGAGAAAAGGGTATCTGGGTGTTTCTCTTTAGTGTCTATGCAAGGGAATTTGTGTGCAGTTTGTCTCTCTTTCTGAGAAGGGGCCAGTGATGCTCGTCTCAATTACCTACTGCCCAATATAGGGCTTAGCAGAGACTTAAACAGAGCCTTGGACTCTGAGTGTGCACTGGGCTGAGCCCCAGAAGCAACTGTAGGCTCTGCCCAGGACTGCTGGAGCTGGTCTCAGAGCCTCTCTCCTATTCAGAATTCTAGTCACCCAATGTCCTTGTGACCACCAGGCCCCAGAGTAGCCTGGGTCTGCAAAAAAAGCCTCCATCTCTTGCTCCATATGCCTCGGTGAGCTGTTTCTCATGAGCCCTTCAGCTCCTTGAAAACTGGAACAAAAATATTCTTCCACCCTGGAAGTGCCCCTCAAAACCATGTTCTGCACCCCCCACCCCCATCTATCTGACTGCCTTTCCTGAGCCCGTGTGGCTCTACTTGGATCTCCAGCCCTCTGTGACTACTTGCTTAGGGTGTGCATCTAGAAGGGAGGTTTGGTCCTATTACATCAGAATACTGGAAATGGCCCCACATTTCTCTCCTATGGGACTTAGTTTCCCTCACCTGCCATCACCACACCACTGCCTTCTATGGCTGAGTAAGCCCCTTCCTGAGACTGCTCTACCCTCTCTCACTCCCCTCCTCCCTTTCTTCCACATTCCCTCTCCCTCCCTCGGGGATGACTGGTGTGCAGCCTGAGGACTGACCTGGGATCTCCCTCTGCTCTCCTTACCACGCCTTTGCCTGTGCTGTGCTCTCTCTGCTGCAGTGCTATCTGCACCCTCCTTTCCTTGCCTAATTCCTGCTCATTTTTCAGCCACTGATCTCAGGTATTTATTACCTTTTGCAGGGAGCCTACTCAGACTCTACTTCACCTCTATCCATCTCAGCTTGAGGCCCTCCTCCATGTCCCTGTAACACTCTGTGGTTACCTCTATATGGTAGGATGGCCAGAGCATGGACGACTCTGGCTACACTTAAGCAAAGTCCATGAACATCTTCAAACCTCGATTTCTTCATTTGCAAAATGGAGATGACAGTAGAGCCTGCCTCATAGGTTGGGGTGAGGTCTTGGCTGGGTGAGGCACATGAATGATCTATGAGCTTGGCATGGTACCCAGCACCCGGTGAGTGGGGCTGGTATTTTTAGTGTCTATGCAAGGGAGGTTGTGTGCAGTTTGTCTCTCTTCCTGAGAAGGGGCCAGTGATGCTCATCTCAATCACCCTACTGTGCAGTACAGGGCTTAGCAGAGACCAAAACAAAGGGAGTAAAGGACAGGGTAAGGAGAGGCACAGCAGCTCCAGCCATCATTACAAATTAGAGTTCATGATTCATTGGAAGTAGTGAGACAAACAGATCTCACCTTTTATCTCACCAGGTTTATCTTTTGTGATTATGTGGTGGTGTTTGGAATAGTAGCTTAAGGGCCCTTCCTTCTTAGTCTGATTCTTAAGCAGATGGATTGATTTATCTTATGGATGTGAGTATGTGAATGTGTATGTGTTGGGGGGTTCCCTGGACTAATAGCCAGCACTGATAGAAAACCCCTGTCTTCCAAGCATGCAACAGACAGAGAGACAGATCCCGGAGGGGTGGGTTTAGCCCTGGGTCAGCTGCGGTGGGGACCTGAGGATCTGCCACGATTCTCGTCCAAGTGACTGCGGCTTGAGAGTAAATGCCAGGGCTGCTGCTGGGGTCCCAGGGTATCTCCGACCTGGAGATTGATGATGGGTTTTGTTATATTTCTGAATAATTAAAGAGCAATTTCCATTTGTGAGGACTTGCTCTGAGCTATCACAATGTATTAGTGGTCAAATAAGCTGCACGTATGTGATTTTAAAAGGAGAACAAGAAACCTGCAGCTGAGAAGACAGAGTTTAGTGCTATAAATAATCATGTTCCACACATGGTGACTGTATCATAAGAAATGCCATTTATTGAAGAACCACTGCCTTTCAGGTCCATTTGCATATACACACCATTTCAGTTCTTCAGCACAGTCAGTCTGGAAAGATCTGGAATGGGGTGTGAGCAGATGGGGGCTTGATGTGCTTCTTGGGATCAGACATTTTTCTCAGCCATAGAATCATTCAGACCAGAGCTCTCAGCAGACACTGAAAGGGTGACCCCATGGGCAGGCAAGTCCTATCTTCCTCTCTCTCTCTCTCTCTCTCTAACTCTCCGAGTCTCAAACTTTTACTGTTTTTGTTTGTTTTTCCATAAAATGGAGTTCAATGTGTCAGACTTGCCCGTATTATGGGGTTGTGATGGTGGTCAGAATTGGCAATGCATGTACTGTAAGGAAGTATTTTGGTTGAGATAAGGAGGTGATACGGTTTGGCTCCATGTCCCCACCCAAATCTCATGTCAAATTGTAATCCCCATGTGTTGGGGGAGAGACCTGATGTGAGCTGATTGGATCATGGGGGTGCTTTCTAATGGTTTAGCACCATCCTTCAAGTGCTGGCTCATGATAGAATTCTCACGAGATCTGGCTGTTTAAAAGCATGTAGCATGTTCTTCTTCACTGTTTCTCTCCCGTCACCATGTGAAAAAAAGTGCTTGCTTTCCTTTCACCTTTTCCATGATTGTAAGTTTCCCGAAGCCCCCCCCCGAGTCATGCTTCCTGTTAAGCCTACAGAACTGTGAGTCAATCAAACCTCTTTTCTTCATAAGTTACTCAGTCTCAGGTAGTTCTTTATAGCAGTGTGATAACAGACCAATACAAGAAGTATCACTTGTATTAGGAGATGTGACTTCTCCCCTCTTTTAATTTGTGGGGTTTGCCTCTGAGTGACCCTATGCATTTCCTCCCTTATAACTTGGTGAACTTGGCAATAGGTCGTTTCCTGTAAACCTACCTTGTAAAAGGATGATTTCTAAGAGCTGGAGTAAATCAGAGCCAGAGGCCTGTAGGGTGATTGCTGGGGCTTCTGAGAACCAAACTAGAACGTCCCCTTTTGCTGCACCCAAAATATGTAAATGCAGGCAGCAACTAGAAGTCACTGAGGGCTCAGAAGTCGTGTTTGTTTACAGAGAAAAGATAATAAATTATGCCTAGCAAACTATCTTTGGAATATAATTACAGGTAATCCAAAAGAACAAAACTAGCCCAACCTCAAGGGAATGAATAATCCCTAATGCCATGCGTAGAGAGACAGATGTTAGCCATTGTTTACAGAACTTGCATGGACAATTATTACAATAGATAAAAGTCATATACTGAGGATATCTGAATTTGCTCAAATGAATATTCTTTGGTTTCAAACAGTCACTGATAGATAGGCAGATAGATAAGGATCGAATGAACTGTTTTTTCTTAGCTGTTGATTTTTCTTTTGATCAAAGAAACGTTCACATATTTTTCACAAACACAGAAAGGGCCTTGTATTCAGAATTGAAGGGTTTGTAATAGAATTCCAGTGGAGCAATTCCTTGAAGCACCTTGAAGCCTCTGGGTGTGTGTGTGTGTCTGCCTACACACTGTGTGTATTTCTTGTAAAATAAAGGGTTTGGTCCAGATTCATGCATAATGCCTATGCCCGCTTCAACAGCCTAAAGTCTACTCATAACAGAGAGGTTTAGCTGGAAAATTCTCAATATCTGGACCAGTGTCATGAAGTGGCTAACGGAGCAGCCATCATACATTTTAATTGTAGCAAGAAAGCAACTTT